CCCTTCTCCGGGAGTCGTTCCCAGTGTGTCGTCGTAAACATTCTTCGCTGCGACGCGAACTCTCGAACACGCTCGGAAATTTATCTTGGGAGTTAAAACTTGTTACGGAGTTCGTTCGTTCGTTCGCTGCGGAAGATTCCTCGCGCGCCGGGGAAATATTCCGCGCGTTAGTTTCAACTCCGTCTGTCGCCGCGGAAGATCTATTAACCCTTTCGGGAGACTCGCAGTCACCATTCAGCTCGATGTGAATGATAGAATTCGATAGCTTCGAGTAATGCACTTAGACGTGAAGCATTTGAATAGAATTCTTCTGTCTTTTCATTGTTTCATTCTACTTAACCCTTAGGCCTAGAAAGAATTATAACTACTTCTCCATTATTTTCAATTATAATGATTCAATTAATTTAGTTAAAAACTATGTTTTGTAAAAACAAGAACCGTATTCGATGAATTGCAAATAATCCCACGTCAAGACTTACTAAATAACGAAAGAAAAGATAAACAGAATAAAAGGCAGTACGTTGCTAAATGAAAAGTGGGAGATCTCTCCATTCGGTTGGCTAAGTGTTAATACGATGTCTAATTTTATATTAAGACAATTAGCTATGTAGCTTCATTGATTACCATTTAGAAAAATATTGATGAGAACTATCTAAATTATATTAACTTGCGGTGGCAACGATTTCAGAAACTCGGCAGGATCTCGCATGAATAATTTTCTCTTCACCTATTACATACAGATATGTACACTAATTTTTTGTGTTAGTAATTTTGTACAATTTCCTAACTCCTAGGAATCCAACGCTGAACCATAAAGTCCAACTATAGTTCAATGAGATATACGTACACACGTAATAAATGTCAAAGGTATCTATCCCCGCGAGCACGAGGTAGCCACCCTAATTCCCGACGAGTGACGATAGATCGGATTGCAGAAAATACTGGCGAATCCCGGAGAAGTTCCGTCTTTTGTCGGCCGTGATCGATCCCCTCCCATTATACGTCAAGGTATTCGCGCTCGCGACGAGGAACTCGCTTCTCTCTCTCCCCCTCCCTCTCCTCCTATCCCGGCGAGGCCCTCTCGAAAGCCGCAAGTTTTAAAATTCTTCGAGTACGGTCGTGAGAGACCTCTCGGATATCGACGAGAATATAATGCACCCTGTTGATCCTTTTTACGAAGACTCGGAGCGAAAAGTCGTTCGAGCAAAGGGTGGCTCCGTTGCTGAGAAACTGTCCTGTCTTCGAAAGACGCTCCATCCTCCCAGCTCCCGGCCGTTGTTCTCCATCTTCCCGTTGAACTCTGGCCGGCTCGATTTATACTTCCGCGCGCGAAAGTCCATCGGAACGAAAACTTTCGCGCCGACGAGTCGCGGCTCGGATATTTCCTTCCGACTATCGGGCCATCGATCCGCCCGTGCTCCGCGAGCCATCGCCGGTCGCCATTTGTTTAAGCGTGTCGTCCGGCGAGCCGGCTCACGCGTCGCGGAGCGCCGGGACTGACGGTCGACCGATGAAATTTGCGCTTTCGCGGACGTCCGAGTTAAAAGCTTCCACGCGCCGCGGGTCCGTCGTTTCGGTCAGGATATTGGTTGGCCGGCGTATTTCCGGCGGCAGGGTGAAGCGGGTGACGTCGATGGGTATATTGTGGGATCAGTCTTATGGAGGTTTTAAGCGAATACTGTGGCGTGGTTTAATAGGGAGGCAATGCAGTTATCTTCATTACTCTGGACACTCTACACTCGCAAAAGTCCTCGTTTTTTATCAGACGAGGTCTGATCAGTGGTAATCTGGAAATGTAAGATAGAAAATTATAACACTTCGACTGCCAAGTATACGCTCATCGAAACTCCTATGCGATCAAAGCAATTTTCTTTAACGCTGAAACTAAGTGAATATTCTTCGTGACGATTGCTCTACTATCTTTCTAGCATCTCGCATCTAACACAATTCGGTTTGTTCGTTTCATCGCCGAGAAAAGTAATGTTTAAGTTTATGTGAATCATGGTGTCACCCGAATTCGGGTGACATGGCAGCCAAAGTGATGGACTCGCCGAAAATGTGACGCTGGAATTTCAGCGCCATAGAACCTTTATTTCAACAGCGAACGAAAAATTAACGAGTAGTTTATTCAATAGTACTCAAACACGTAGTCGCACGCATAATACGAACGAAGAACCAAAGGAATCATCATATTCATCCTCTTACACAATTAAACTAAACTCCATCACGAATTCCTTCAACCCTGCAGACTACCATAACTGAAATTTCACTCTAATTCTAGTAATACCTTTCAGGGACTAACCACCGATCAATCCTCCACTTCACTAGAACCCCAAAAGATCCAAACACCGATCCTACACAAACCCCCAAATAAACCCAAACTCCCATCGCCACACCCTATCAACAACACCAACAAACCTTCAAACTCCCAGCCAATAATCGAAAACAAAAGGAATCACCGTTCCCTCCTACAAAAAAGTATCCCTCCAAACATCCGTATTTCACACATCGAAAAGAATAAAGACGAAGACAGAGTCCGTTGCAGCGAACCTGGCACTCTCGTCTAAGTGGTCAGATCCGAAGGCGCACGCCTGATTGGCCGAGGCGCTCACGCCCACCAATCCAGTCGCGCGAGGAGCCGTTCCCGACTCGCGACTGGATGTCTCGTTGCCACTGTCTCCGCCCCTATGACGTCACGAGTGCCAGGTTCCCAGCAACCTGGTCATTCGGGCGTAGGCGTTACACGAATAAAAGATGATTCGAACGCCCACACTGTAATATACTCTCGCATTGTCCCTCCTAGAATTCCTGCACACTCTCTAACTGTATTTCGCCGGCTTTCCCGATCGTTCCTGAAACGGAGATTCATGGCCGGACACTGAAAAACGAGGAATGAACGTCCCGTGGGTCTGACTTGCAGGCGGAGCAGTGATCACCGTGCCGCCGACCAACCAGACGAAGCTGGAAGGCGAGAAGGTGCAATTCTCCTGCGAGGCGAAGGCTCTCCCGGGCAACGTGACGGTGCGCTGGTTCAGGGAGGGCGCGCCGGTGACCGAGGTCTCGGCGCTGGACACGAGGGTGACCATCAAGGCCGACGGCAGCCTCGTTATCAATCCCGTCAGCGCCGACGACTCCGGCCAGTACCTTTGCGAGGTGACCAACGGCATCGGGGATCCGCAGAGCGCCAACGCTTACCTCAACGTGGAATGTGAGTTTCGGGAACTTCGAGATGGATCTCGTCGGTCCTCGAGATTCGACGCTTTTTACTTTGGGGGATTCGAGGGTTGGATCTGATACACTTGTACCGGTTGATTCGAATGATTTTTTAACGCTAGAAAATTCTGACAGTAAATTATTTCCGGTTTTTTAGACATTTGGTATGGTGTTCGAGTGAAATCGTTTCTTTTTGAAATCGTTTCGAAGGTTTAATGCGTTGAAAATATTAACCCTTTGTACTCGAGAATGTTTTTCGAAGAAATGTTAGTTTCTGATGAAATATCAATGGTATTTTTTACAATTTATATAAAGAGATATCTTACATAAATTGACGAAACTATTTTATCTCGATGCGTGTGTTGGTAGATTATAAAATAATTTAATATTGAATTTTAAATTTTATCTCTCTCTCTCGAGTGCAAGGGGTTAATAATTGTATACAGAACAATACTGGAACTCATTTTTACTGTTTTAGTGTTACTATATTAGGGAGATAGCATGAGAATTCCTCGATCATCTCGGAAACTAGAACAAAATCATGCCTCTAACATGTAAACCCTTTGCAGACGAAGATTCTGTGAAACGTACAGAACTTCCAACAGCTGAAGCTAAACTATATCAATTGCTTCAATAGAAGAGAAGGAAACTATCTGCGTTCGAGTAATTGAATCATTGTTCCCGAGTCTTCCAAATATATCAAACATCATTGCGAAATGCCGACATTCGTCCGCAAAGGATTAGCACATGGAATACCATGGGGTTCATCGGAGACCCCAACCAAATCAAATTACTATTCAATTAAATGATGGTTATTTGAAATTCCTTCTATTTTCTAAATAATGTTACCTAATGCGGTGACATTCAGCTAGATAAACGTGCAACGATGCAATTCAATGAAAACATCTAACCCTTTGCACTCAAAATTATAAACTTTTGCATTCACCATTTAAAATTGTATACTGCATCAAAACGTGAAATATTGGAAGAAAACAGCGTTCCCTAATTTGTGATTTCTTGATAAATTAATTTTAAAGAATCTCGTCCACATTTAATTAGAAAGTATATTTCAAGTGAAAAACTTTCGAGTGCAAAGGGTTAATACTTCACTTCTCCCATTTCGTCTATTTGCTGGAAATCATACAGAATTCAACGTTTACGAGAACTATTCAAACCAAACCGTATCAATACGTCGCAAACGACCCAGACTGAATGCACTAAGATCGTCCAACTTCCGTTCCCAGATCCAGCAAAGGTTACGTTCACCCCGACGGTCCAGTACCTGCCGTTCCGTTTGGCGGGGGTGGTCCAGTGTTACATAAAAGCGAACCCGCCGCTGCAGTACGTGACCTGGACGAAGGACAAGCGGCTGCTGGAGCCTTACCAGACGAAGGACATCGTGGTGATGAACAACGGCTCGCTGCTGTTCACGCGTGTGAACGAGAACCACCAGGGCAGATACACGTGCACGCCGTACAACGCGCAGGGCACGCAGGGTAGCTCCGGCCCGATGGAGGTCCTCGTGCGTAACCCGCCCGTGTTCACGCTGGAGCCGGAGCCGATCTACCAGAAGAAGGTCGGCGAGACCGTCGAGATGCACTGCGACGCGCAGGAGGCCGAGGGCACGCAGAAGCCGACGATACAGTGGCACAGGGTACATTCCCCGAGCGCGAAAAAAACCGGCGATCCGATTCGGAGCTCGCCGACGGCCGGCTCTCTCGGATTACCCTTCGCTCAATCGGGACTCTAATTAATTGAAATTCGAGCGATACCCGCGATCGCTTTACGCTCGTTTCGCGTCCGCCCGGGAAAAAGAGCCGGCTCCCGGACCGATCGATCGATTAACGAGCAATTTAAATCGCACGGTTTAATTCCGCTCGTTATCCGTTTAAAGCCAAACTCGCGCGAACCGTTCGCGAGATATCGCAGCTACGGTAGTTTCCGAAGAACAGTCGTTCCTTAAGACAAAACTTCTGTCTCGTAAGAAGAGTTCGAGAGCGAACCGTCGCTGCGATATCCTCGTACATCGTGCACAATCTAACGCTCGCTCGATTGATTTGCGCAGAGAGACGGCGCGTCCATCGAGCGCAACCGGGCGAAGATCATCGGCGGCAATCTGACGATCGAGAGCCTGCGGCGATCGGACTTCGGCTTCTACCAGTGCGTCGCGACCAACGAGGTGGCCACGATCTCGGCGTCCACGCAGCTGATCGTCGAAGGGACCCAACCGCACGCGCCGTACAACGTGTCGGGGACCGCGACCGAGTTCTCCGTCACGTTGACGTGGCTGGCGGGCTATTCCGGCGGGCCCGACTACAAGCAAGACTATACCATTTGGTGAGGAACCCCGGGAACCCTTCGAAATGTCGGCAGGCGTCTTTCGGAAGGTTCTCAAGGAAAGTTTTTCTCGCGTCGCGCAGGTACAGGGAATCGGGCACGTCGGAATGGCTAACGATCCCGGTGACGCCTTCCGGCAGCACCACGGTGACGATCAACAACCTGACGCCGGGCACGCTGTACGAGTTCCAGGTGATCGGGAAGAACGCCCTGGGCGACGGGATGCTGAGCAAAGTCATTACTATCAGGACTCTTGGTAACGATCGTTCCTTCGCCGTCTATCTTGTGCGTGGCGGTGCAACGTTCGCGATCGACGCCGTTTTGCCCGCGGTTCTTAACGCGTCCACTGCCGATAACCGGAGCATCCGAATCGTAAAAAGTTCGATGAACGTATTTAACAACTCGACCGAACTAGATAATAGCCTAACGCAAGAACTCCGGTATAATTGCTCGCGCGATTTATCGCCGTCGCGAAGCAACAAGCGACTCCCCCGGCAGTCGGCGCGTTAAATATTCATAGCGGCGCGCCGCGTTGCCAATTGAAACGCACCGATCGAAATTCCGGAATCCTCCGTTTCGCTACCACCGCCGCTAACAACTCCACTAACTGCCCCTCCCCCGCACTAACCGACTAACGAGACTGCCTCTCCCATGCGAACGCTGTCCTCCGGCCGCCCGTTGCACCGAAGACGTGGCGCTGACGCACTCGGAGACTCCATCCTCGAGCGCCGGCCAGGCCGCGGCCACGGATCAAAGCGGTAAGCCCCGTCCACGGAGTCGCAGCTGATTAATCGCGAGCGGGTACCGAGAGGCCGGGAAGCAGCCGCGGAGCGAAGCGTCGGAACAACTCGAGCCGAGATAAAGCCGGCCGGAGAATCAAAGGGACGGTCCGGCATTCGGGCACGATCGACCGTGAAACCGACCGACCGACCGGGCTCGACGGTTCCCCTAAAAACGGGCCGGCCAACAAAGAACCTCGGTTCAACGGTTCCGTAAAGATGCCTCGCGCGGAACGAACCCCAGGGGATGCCCGATGCGCGCGAGAATTTCGCGGTCGCGCCGGGGGGAAACTTTCCGAAAACAGGGACGCGGAGGAATCGAGGGGAACGGAAGGAGGAGGCGGAACGTCGGCGGAGATACCGCGGCGAGGGGCGGAAGAAGAAGCGGGGGAGCGAGGAAGGCAACGGAGACTTCCGCCGCGACTTATCGTATCGGAAAACCTATCGAGCCGTTCATTCTGTTTCCGCTTTTATTTCCTCCCCCCGAATCCGCCGGTTCATTGGCTTCCATTTGTACACACGGTGCCTCGGTTTCTCCTCCGCGAAAGCCGACGTACGGATTTCCATCCGGTCCGAGGCAACGGGGAGCGCACCGATCTCTCAGTTCCCGTCGGCGCGCGTGAATCTTCATTCGGCACGTCCGCGCCGGCCCCGTGATCCCGCGAGATCGCGGCGCCGACGCGTCCGACCCTTATTTCCCCGACATTTCCATATTAATAACGGCGGCCGGGAGCCGCGCTAATAACCCCGCGACGAAAATTCCGGCGTCCCAATGAGCCGCGCGCGTACATATGTCCCGTCGCGCCCTCCTTTTCTTTCCCCCGCGCTTCAATTTCCGCGCGGCCTTTTTTCCCTTCCCCGTCCGCCGCCAGTCCACGCATCACCGGCCCCGAAACTCGTTAGCCTGCCTCGAGT